CGTTTTCAAGAGTGGAAAACCTTGAATTTTGAAGAACTTAATTACTTTTAAGTTCTTCAAAACTCAAGGTGTTCCCCTCTTGAAAATTATTATAATGAATCAATGAACCCAGAGAAAGGGAAGTTCGGAAAATGTTGATTTCTAAATGGTGGACAATGAGATTTCCCGACTTCTGAAGTATTTTTTAATGACTTTAATTTAAAAGACACCTCAGAAGTCGGGAAAACTCAATTCCCGCCTTCTAGGAATCAAAATTTTCCTGGGGAAGAACCCCCGGACCCCCCTTTCTTTTTGGGATTCATCGATTCATGGAAAATTCGTATGCAACTACTCATTTTTTTTAAATTGTTATGTATGTATACACACATAAGCCCTATTTACTGTAATAACAATGGGAAAAATTACCTGACCGTTTCAAGATGGGAAGACCTTGAAATTTGATTCCAGATCTGCATGATTCATTTTCCCATTCATTTTATAAGCAGTGGCGTAACAGGCGGGGGAAGGTGGGCAGACTGTCCCCCTGACGGTTTTTACCGGGCTGACCAAGCCGTCGTACCGGGCTGTAAGAAGAGAAATGAAAGAGGGGAGAGGGAGGGAAAGAGAAAGAAGGGGAAAGAAAAAGAAATAAGGAAAAAAGAAAAAAAAAAAGAGAAGAGAAAAATAAAGACAAGAATAAAAAGGAAGATATAATGAACAGATATCACAATACCGCGGCCTGCAACTCCTTCTCTACTTCAAAAAGTGTCCATAGCCCATTTGATCTAAGCCACCAGATATTCTCCGCAGTGGCGTAACCACCGGGGGACAAGGGGAAAATATCCATCTGTGGAAAATCTTTACCCATTGAATGCCCTTTTCACCCGGGAAAGTGCCTGAAAACCTCAAATTTTAAATCGCATATTTTGTTGAGGTAGGCCAATTTCCTCTAAAAATTGCACATTTTAGGGAGTTTTGATCAATTCCGACAAAATTAGAATTAAAAAAACAAACATTTTTCGCGCGCATTTTTTAATGTTAAAGCTTGTGCTTGCTCTCCTTTGCCTTCTAAGTTATAACACATAGTCCCAAACTCAAGAAAAAATTTTAAGATAGATCGTCTTACCTAAAATAAGGGCCTTAATGTATAATGATGTTGAAAGGATATGTTTGTAATAAAGCCATAAGAAAATTGCTTATATTCAGTTTTAAAAAACGAGTGTGGCCATATATAACATAAGAGCATTGTACTGGCCCGACAATAAAAGACAATATTGAAATCCAGTCGTATAACCGTGTTCACTTTTCATTCGTTGAACATTTATTGGTAACTGCAAAAACAACAAGCAATGGATGCTAATAAGACATAACCCAAAATTAGTACAAGATGTATAAAATGCAGTACTAAATATATCAAGGATATATGCATGTACCCTATCTTTCTTACATAAACTGTGCTGTCCTCTCAAGACGTATCCAAGATTACTGGCTATATCCAAGATCACTGGCTATCCAGCTGCAAATAATTCAATAATCAAAGTCATGGATGGTATAGAAATTATCTCTAAAATATAATCACATAGCTGGGTGATGCAACAATTTCCAAGAGGATATACAAAATAGCCATTACCCTTTATAAACATTATAAAAACAAAGCTAGGCTAACACAACCTGAAAGTTTACT